TTCAAGACTGTTTTCTTGTTGAATGACTGTTTGAAAGACTGTTTTTTTATCCTGAACGATCATTTAAAGATCGCTTTTTCGAAAAAGTTTGCAAAAGCCGAGCGTTTTTTTGGTATTTTGTTTTGTTCCACAATCTTTATGGTCGGTGGGACTAGGACAAAACATTTTCTTGTGAAACTGCTACTGGGACTGGGATTAAAAAGTTTTGATCCAGCTATCGCAGTTTCTTACTCATATTTTGAACAAATCATCATACTTTTTTATTTCGACACTTTCCTATTGCTTTTAAATCAATACCATCATCATTATCATCTTTAGAAGAACCATCGCTTGCTTTTCGTTTTCAAATGTTCTGGCATTTCTTAATCTTTTACAATCTAAAAACACCAATAGACAACCAGTTTAAAACAGGCAAATAAACAAAAGGAAACTCAAAACGATCTTTTTCATACACAATACACACTTAGTCATGGCTTACGCACACAACTTTTTCCGAATAACGCAGCTCTCTCTAACTCAAAATAATTTGATTAATAATAACAAACTCTAACTCAACTTAATTGAGAACTTGAGAAAAAGTTAAACTACTTCTTTTAAAAAGAAGGTACCTCCTTTCGTGAGTCTTAGACGTTATTTTATGGTTGGCTTACCTTGCCTTTAATTACATAAAAAAAGAATCGCAATCACTAATTACCCATTCAAGATAAATTTGACCTGAAAAGGTTCAACATGCAGTTAGAGTACACTAGTGATTTGATGAAATGTATTCAAATCACTATTGTAGCCTAAGTGCATGTTGAATTTTTCCACGTTATCTTCTTTTAGCCGATAACAACAGCTAAAAGAAGGAGTCGTAATTGCGGAAAAGATAGAAAATAAAGAAAATAAGGATGCTGAACTTGTTTTTAGATAGATTTGAACGAAATTAAAAAACAAAAAGGTGTTTCTCGCATCTTAAGTCATTCAAAATACTCTGGATCGATTTTAGGTATTTCAATAAGAATAATATGCAGCAAAATCTTGAAGAAATAGCCAAACTGCAGCCTTTCATAGTTCTTCTATCAAATATCATATATGAAAAACTAAATCCCACCACTTTAATAAATCCCACCCTCAAAGTGCAAAGAAGTGCACCAACAACCATTTCTAGAAAATTCAATGAATATCAGTAGTTCATTTGGAAATCCCTTTCCTCTGGATTTTTCATTAATACATTAACAGCAACAATGTATGAAAATGAATTCTGGAAAATATTAAATAAAATATTTAAAACAGTATTTCATTCAACAAAAGTATTTACAAACCTGACCACAGCAGTTTGCATGACAATATCAAATGCCACAAATCGGATGAACAGAAAAAGCTAGTTCTAGCAGACAAACAATAGTTTGTTTTCGTTATTCTCTCGTATTTTCGCATGCAAGGGTTATAACCGTAATCGCAATAACCGTTCGAACGGTTAACTGTCGCCGTGAATAACCGCTTTAAAACAACTTAGGGTATATTTGATTTTTAGTTCATTGATATCGGTGTACATTAGAAGTAGGCAGGATGGTCTTTGTCCTGACGTTATAGTGCATCTACTAATAAATTTATGAAAATTCTAGGGAATAGGTAATCGACTATGAGGAATCCGAAAATGAGTATGAGCGACCTATAGAACGTATTCTATTGGTTAGAAACGTCCTCTTAGATTCCGGATCTCATAAACACACTATTCAAGGAGAGACTAGCACTACTTGTTCGCTTATTGTGAAGTGTCGGCCAAACACTTGTTTCGCACAACGGGTGGAGCGAGCAGTGGATAGTGAGAATGAGTCATGGAAGCCGTTTAGCTCGTTTAGCTGAATCTGAATATGTATAATAATGCCAGAAACAAATTCCACTGAAATTTTGCATTACCTGCACCTTATATATTATATATAATAGTATAAACCTTAATCACATGGCCAGAATGATCTCGTGAAAAGGGCAGAATTAAAGCTCGCCACGGCCAGATAACTCTGCAATCGGAGTGAAATTCCGGGACGAAATTTTGTGATATCAGAGTTTCATTAAAAGAACTTTCATTAAAAGGAAGTTCACTAAAATTTTAACGAAACTTTCTGGGTGTTCGGTGATTCTGAATTTTCAGTGTCAAAAAATTTTAATGAAGTTTAAGCGGAGAAAAATTATGTATATATCGCGTAGCAATACATATCGGAGGTGAAACAAGTATCTTTTGCTAAGCGATATATATATATATATATTAGATATAGAAAAAGCAGACAGATTTCGTTATTACATTCAAGAAAAGAATAACGATCTTTAAGGGGATCAGTTCAGCGGCCCTACATTTTCATTAAAATTTTTAATAAAGTTCTTGCGCTATCAAACAATTTTAATGAAACTCTTTTGCCATCAAAATCGTTTTACTGGAACTCCTAAAAAATAACACTTACTACCTTTACCTATCAAGGTTTCATAATCACTTTCAATCGAACTCAAATTTTCACGTCTTAAATATTCAACCAGTTGTGCAGGTGTCATTTTAATAATCTCCATTGATGAGGTAGAATAAATACCACTAGACGATTTAATCTAGAGAAAAAACAATATTCTACGGATCCGTCAGAAACGAAAACTATTTCTAGCCATAAGAAAACAAAACCTGAAAATTGCACAAAAACTGCCCACACTTGCTATATGACTTTCAAAACGATCAAGGCACAACTGTGATCTCTCGCTTTCAGCTCATCCAGTCATTGTCTCGATCAGTTTTTGAGCCACAGGTTTTCCAGGCTCCTTCGTTCTTACGGATTTCAAGCTAATAAAACCAAATTAACCATTAATTGCACAAGAGAAATTCTCAAAATACTAAGAGCACCGAGAAAACAAAAAGTTTGCATCCCTCTGAGAAAACTTGGGTTCTTGACCCCTTTTGTTCACTGTAATCTTTCGAATTTGATATATTCGGATTCCCCATCAAAAACTGAGTCTAATCATGTACCATTGAGTCACAAAAACCAAAATACCTGTGTGGCACATTTCTGACAAGAGTAAGCATTCTACAAAATCACCTTCTCTCGCAAACCTATCTCCTCCCTGGTATCGAAACTTTTCTCGTCGTCATACGCCATTCGAATCACCATTTGAAGGACAACAAAAGTACGCATCGCCTTTTAAAAAAAGTTCTTTCCTCATGGAGAAAGGTAGACTTTACTGAAGAAAAGAATGACCGAAAAAAGACGCTTTTTTTCCAAAACTGCTCTTTTATTTATTTTCAGTTTTCACATGTGTATATAGGTCAAAAACAATGTAAAGTACGATGGTCATGCTAACTGACGACCACACAGGTTGTTTAGTAGGTCTCCACAAACTAAGGTAAAAAAAAAATAATGAATTTCGTCATTCTGTTTGCGAATATTTACAGTACTACCAGTGTTTATCACGTACTTGATGTGGAGAGGAAAGAAGCGGATTTCACATTGGGCATCTGGCTCTCTCTTTTTTTAATTTGACTCCAAATAACTTTATACTTTCTTTTATCAGCACACAGAAGGAGAAGAAAAGGAAGAGGCATGTGAGAATGCCTGATATTAGAAAAGAAAAGAGAAACAGACAAACACATTTGAAAGAATGTAATGATATCGCTACATAATAAGCAGCTATCTCATTTAATCACGTATGGAGCAAACGAGATGTTCGGTATAGTTTTGTATCAGAACGAAGGAAGGAGAAAAAATAAGCACAGTTGCTCATTTTCATCGAAGTTTATCGTTTCAACGTGCCTCGTACTTTCAAATGCCGAAAACAACTATTCGTTGAAGACAGTCACAAACAGCTGCGACAGTCAGATGGATCGAGGAAACAGCTTCGCAGAGCGACTCAGCTGATGAGGAAGAGGTAGTCGACATGGAAGTGGATGAAAAATATGACATGTCAACAATGGCCGATCTCTTCGAGTTGATTCGAAATGAGAGTAGACCGCGCAAGATATCGGCACGATGCACAACGGGTGAAGCGAGCAGTTGATAGTGAGAATGAGTCATGGAAGCCGGGAATGCTAGGCCCGTAATGAAGTCTTGGAACAAACACGTTCTTATGTGGACGTGCGATTACTGCACTCGTGAGTT